ATATGGCTTAATTTTGGGACATCTTAAATCGAAACGAGATTTTCTTTTTGGCTGCTTGTTCGGCTATTCTGACAGTAGCTTTCTGTTCTGTTGTGACAGTAGCTAGCTGTTCTGGGAAACACTAGTCGCGTTTGATTCAGTTCAATTAATAGATAATTGTAGTTCGCCTAATTTATTCACCCATGCTCGGTTTTGAGTCTGGGCTATGGCCATCAAATGTTTTCGAATGATCCTTATAAGTGTTTCGACCTGACCGTTTTCTCTAGGTACACCATGACCGATAGCATGGTACTCAATACCATAAGTATTAAAAACATCTTGTACCCATTAAGTTGGAATTAAGTACCATTCCCACCAATCGTCACAGAAGTGGTGAAGTGTGGCTCATGGTGAACAGCTGTTTTTTGTGGATGCAGGTGCTGGTACTACTGCTGTTGCGGGTTTCGATCGACAATTCGTGATATGGTGGCCTGGTCGCTTAGAGTACTCACAAAACCTGTTTCTACAGTCTCTAATGCGGCGTCCCTGTTTTCCACAATGATAACATATGAGAGGCTCTGACGGAAGCGGAATTAACTTGCCTTGAGTTTCTTCATTAGAGTTTACTTCTGCTACCCTCTTCCGAAAGTTGGGAATTTGTTCCCCGAGCTGCACCTTCCGGTAGTTATTGAGGGTACTAATTAGTTCTGCTTGTGATCTTGGAGCACTTCGTAAAAGTTCAGCTTGATAGTGTTTTGGTCGAATCCCTGATATAGTGGCTTCTACTAAGAGTTCGGTTGAAGCATTAGGTGAGATTTTTGAAAATAGCCTCCAAGCTTCCGTGACAAATTCGGCATAGGATTCCGCATCATAAGACGTGTAATCCCGAAATTTATTAATAAAATAGATATGACGTGTTTCTCCTCCAAACTGTGTCATCAGCTGGTCCTTGATTTCAGTCCAGTTTACGTATAAATGAGAGTTTGTATCGGCCCATAATTTTGCCCGACCCATCAGGCATGATAGACTCTTCATCATGGCAACCAGTTGCGAAATTCCTCGAGCTGCTAAGAGAGTCTACTTGATTACACCATTCATCAATTGTTAACTTATGGTCATCAGGATCAAATTCAGGTAGGTATATTTCATTAAAACTTGGTAGGTTGGATGAACCACTGTTATTTTGCTGCACCATTTCTTCTAAAAGTTCTATCTGCTTCCGTAGTAACAAAATTTCGATATTTTGATGTTGAGTCTTATTATCCGGTAGCGACGCATTCAATACTGGCGATGTTCGATGATCGACGGTAGATGGGTAGACCGGTGGATGAGTTTCTTCATATTGTGGGCGCTGTTCCGTAATCCCACTTCTGATGTTAAGTTTTGGCCACCACTGCTGAACAGCAGTGTACGATGTGACATTGTAGTAATATTATGCACACAAAATAATAAAAGAACTTGATCACTGTTATAATTTTTACTTCAAAATACACTCACACCCTTTACTATACTATAAAACATATATACTTTTTTTATACTATAAAACACGTTACTTGATCTAATCAAAACAACAACCAAATCAACGACAATTAATCTTCAATAATTATCAAGATTTAGATGAGATTAGTTACTTCGTAATATAATGTAACTTACAATGAAATTTACAATACATCAAAATTATAAATACACCGAGATTACAAATTACAATAATCACTTTAATAATTAGCAAATTATTCCATTAATTTAACACAAGTTAATAGCTATTCAAGTTAAACTAATTTCTGCAGTAACTAAACGCTATCATATATATATATATATATATATATATATATATATATATATATATATAAATAAATGGACTGAACTAAGCATATATTACATCTTTTTTGAAAATCCTAACCAAATATGTTTGTAGTTAGAATAGTTATATACGACCATCCTAATATCTTGGTGCAAGTCTGAGACTTCGACATCTAAACCCGTTCACCAATCTTGACCCGTAAGTTTATAAAAACGTAACTGAAATCAATGAAGTGTGTTATGCTAGTACTACCTTTGCTCGTTTTACAACTTTTCGCATAAAAAAAAAAAAAAAAAACCTTTTAACTTAGAATACTTGAGCAACATGAGTTCAAGTCTCGGTTTTAACGTCAATTAACTTTTAGGGATATCAATAAAAGTCAGGTGAACTTCGCGAATAAACTCATAAATGTATGATTATATTAGAAATAAAGAAACATATATTTCTATGACATAAAGTCTGCCAATCCTCAGGGGGGTTGTATGGCAGAATATGGGTTACGTTTGACCAGCAGTAGAATACAAGTATTTATAAATAATCTCTTACTTTATATAGTGCCACGTCTCCCAAGACATCATACATACGGATGGGTTTGGAAGTAAAGTATTCAAGAACGAGTGGTCTTTTCGAGGGGATTTCAAATTTCTCCACGCATTTGAAAGATGCTTTAAAACGGACAACAGTAACAGAGCATTAGCTATTGTTCGGAAATAAAAATGCCGTAACACAAGTACTTGACATTCTTAGAGATCCGCGAACAAAGGGCTCGCTGCAGCGAACCGGACTGGAAATGTTGTGATAAATAATTCACAAAAACTCTATCTTATCTGTTTCCACCGCGTGGTTTTTCACCGGCCTCGGCCAAGTCAGGTCGTTTCCGGCCCTTATAAATTATGTGCGCCTCTCTGATCAACGTTTGATTAGAAAATATATCATTTCTATTTCGTTCGTGAAAAGACTGTGGAATAGTTGTAATTAAAAAAACATATATTTTTTTTTAATTGTGAAGGTGGTAAGCGAACAGGGTGTACCGACACCCGTAGCGTTGCAGATGCGTTGCTACCTTTTGATAAAGTGGGCCCCGGCTACCTTACTCACGAGACGAAACGCATAACACTTCCGCTTTACAAACATATATGCTATAAATCCCTAACTGAATTTATGATAATTTCGTTATCAATTCGGACCAAATAGATGGGGCCGAATTATATCCTTTAATAAGTTATAGAAGTAATACTATAGCTGTACTATAAAACTAATTAAAATTTGAAATTCAAAGTAGGATGAAAGATATAAATCTTTACAATAGCCAGGAGTAAAAATCGAGAATGTCAAAAGGATAGATCAGAGGTAAAAACCTAATAAAAAGTTATTCAGACTGAACTCTCGCAAATGAATGAATTTAATTTAAGCTAAAAGCTCTTAACGTTTCGGAGCCGTTACGTTTTTTGATACTGAACTTTTAATCGACTACATTTAATAACGATGAAAGTATTTTCACGATCAAAATAGATTTATAAGTACAATTCTCTCTTAATAACAAAAAGTTTACATTTTAATTTTTATTTAATAAAGTTTTATTTTAATTTCACAAATTGAAGCTGTCATCATTTTCTTATGTGAAAAGCTCGCAAACGGGCAGGCGATACATCTGATGTTACTGATTACAAGAACCCGTGCAAATGTGAAACAACAATGGATTGCAGATGGGTTGCCGACCATTAAAAGTTGCACCCTGGATAACTCACTAACAAAAACGAAACGCGAAAGTAATGGTTCCACTTTACGCTGGTTTTCTGTGAGGTCGTGGTTCTTCCCCGGACGGGCCTGCCCATTCGTGCAACAGCAGAAGCTGCTGTATTGCCCTATCATGAATATATATGAAATTATATTTCTTGCAGAAAATAATACATGTACAAAAAAATCTTATAATAATGTACTCTGCTAAATTTATCTCTAATATATAAAATTCTCGTGTCACGGTGTTTGTAATTGAACTCCTCCGAAACGGCTCTACCGATTTTCGTGAAATTTTGTGTGCATATCGACCAGGGTGGACAATCAGGTAACATCTATTTTTCATCCCCCTAAATGTTAAGGGTGGTCCACTCTAAACAGTTTTTTCTACCCTACAAATTCCCTAAAAATAATTTATATGGCAGAACAACGTTTGCCGGGACAGCTGCTAGTCTTTATATATATAATCCTTTGTACGTGTGTATGTCACTGAACTCCTCCTAAACGGCTGAACCGATTTTAATGAAATTTTTTGTGTGTCTTCATGTCGATTTGAGAATGGTTTAGATTGATAATTCGGGACATACAACTTTTTTTATACTTTTCTTATTTGTAAGTTGTCAGATTTAAATCGTCTGTATAGGACAACGTCTGTCGGGTCCGCTTGTAATTAAATATATTTTTATTTGTTTTTTATTGATTATGTTTATTTGCATGCATATTATTTTTATTTACAATGTTTATTTGCAAGAACTCCTCCTCTGGTGCAGGCCTCCATGAACCACTTTACTACATACAGATATAGGGCTAGTAAACGGATAGTTGTTCATTAGATAGTTTTAATTATCATTAGTTTACATATTGCGATTGGCCCATTGAACATAACGTACCTGTCATTAACATGGCTTTGACAAGATTTTTTGGCAATCATTGACAAGAATAAAAAATCAATCTGGAATTTGACATTCACAAACGGATATATTAAATATACTTGAGTAATAATTGACAGTCTCTGAGGGCAGTGGTGAGCTGTAATTGAATAGAGAAATAAATGGGACATAATTGTCCTGTTCACCTTCGCTATTATTTATTCTCGGATGACGCGAATGTATAGAATTATAACATATTATTTTATATTATTACCGTATTGTAGTGACAATAAGAAATTTGCGTTAACGAATCGTTTCAGAATAGCGCGCGCAGAAACAAATCAATTAATCCCATTGTTCGATTTTCAAAATCAACAAGTATTGATTTGCGAATGATAAGAGAGGTTCAAGTCCGTATTGCTTTACGTTAAAGACTAATGTTTCGTAACAAACAGTCAACTGACAGAAAAATTTGTCTGTTTTCGTGTTTGCTCAAGCTGTGCGGACACAGGTGCTGTCTTCCAAAGGTGTATTTAATAAGATATAAATAGTGGGACGAAATTGTTACATTCGTGTATACTTTATACCGAATTGGTCGATCAAAGACCAGAAAAATGCTGAGTCTCACGCTTATACTGCTCGGTGCGACGGTGAGTTTTTTTTATTATGTTGCCAGCTTTTCGTGTTAACATTATTAATCGATTTGTTTTCCTTTTAAATAACTCCTTTTTTGGTGTCGGGGGAAATCTTTAAAGATGAATAACTCTATGACGTCGCTCGGGGCTGTGTTATACCTTAAAGCCACGACTTAGATATTGTATTATAACTTCTGTTCCCTTAATATATTTACGTGTTTTTTTACCTATTGGCTAATGTCTGATATTATCATGCTTTGAAGACGGACATTTGTCTACGTACTAATTGAGATATATAACACAATATTTAGAGTACTTATTAAGTAACAAGCTTATTTCTTACCTTATATTGGCAAGAAAGCAAGATTTGATTTTGAGATTCTTTCGTTGAAACAAATAGATTCATCTCCTATAATTTATAATTAAGTTCAGTCACAAACAAATCGCGTTTTCTTTTTCATTTCTTTTTTTTATTTAAAGAAAAACATTGTCCTTAAATAGGTACTATAGTATTAAATTATCCTGTGTTGTGAGGACGTTTTACGTACATAAATTTCACGTGGACAAACACCCGGTTCCGAAACAATTATCTGTTTGTCACACAAATAGTTGTCCGGTGTGGGAATCGAACCCACGACCACCAGCGCCAAAGCCAACACCTTGGAAGCTGCCCCACGGAGCAAATTACAATTTTGTAAATATTTTCATTACAAAGCACGTGGTTGTAAACTTCGATAAAATAAAAAAATACAGTAAAATAAAATAAATATGTAAGCAAAAAAATCCGATAATTGAGTAGATTATGATTAGAAATAATCTGAACTGCACTCAGGTATAAGGTTATGTAAGAACTGTATAAAGGTAGGAGTCACTCCCAGCAATATTACATTGAAGCATCATTGAACATTTGCGCCGATCACTCAGATTTACATATAAATACGTTCGGCAAACGAATCCGCTATATGAAGTGCTATCCCCATATTGGAAACGTTGTCTGCATATGACAGCCTCTACGGATAACAGATAAAAAACAAAGAAGGTAAGTTCGTAAAACGAAAAGGGTCCAATACGAGATTGTTTCGAATTTCGTAAATTTCTCTGTCTGCATGTTTATGCTATTTATCTATTAATAGCTTTTTTTCGTTGTAACATAACAGTTACTTATTAATAATTATTTACGTATATTTTCGTGACTTTTGCTAAATAGTAATAAATCTGGGGAATTAAAGTTAAGAAGTCTTCTGTTTAAAATATACAAAAGCATCAGCCGTTAAATGTCCCACTACTGAGCAAAGGCCACCTCTGTAAAGACAGTATCAGGACAGAGTCAGGCCGGTAGATGAAGGTGTAATCGTTCTATACTTTTTTTTTGGTTTCGGGGGTAAACCTTCCCCGATTCCCTCGCCATCTTACAGCCGTTCGAGGCCACTTCGAGCTGCTGCCAATCCGCGTCCCCTTTTAGTCGCCTTTTACGACAGGCAGGAGATACCTTAGTCCTATTCTATGAGCCCGGAACTACAGGGCTGAATCGTTCTATACCTACGGGGCATTTGCAATATTTAAATTAGTGAAATTACTCAACAATATCTTTGATTTATAAAAGAGTATATGTTTTTACATATGAAATTGTAAATAGTTTATACAATTTTTTCAATGGAAAAGTTAAATTATAAATCTTCATTAAAGTTACCAAAAATCATAATAATCTTAAACAACATTGGAGAGCTTAGTAAATATTGGATCCCGATCCCGTATATTTTTACAAAGGAAGTGTAAAGTTTTCAATATATGGCGACAAAGTAGCTGTACTCATTTAAGCCTTTCAGAATTTTGAATTCAGCCCCTTTCAGAGATGTTTATATCGATGCCTGTGTCCTTTAAATATATTATGTACTAGCTGCTGCCCGTGACTACGTCCGCGTAGAATAGGCTGAAGGCGTAACATTTTGGCAGAATAAAAGATACATAAAAATATGTATATAAATTATAGCCTATGTCTTATTCTGATGTATAAGCTATATTATTGTAAAGTTTCATTAAAATCCATTCAGAAGTATTTGCGTGAAAGAGTAACAAACATCCATCCATACATACAAACTTTCGGTTTTATAATATTAGTAAGGACTTTGTGGCTGTTGCTTTATTATTTTTTTTCCATTGTTGCTTTATGTCTCTTTTGTTCTGCCTCTCGAACTTAATTCTTTCCACGAACCTCTTTAATATTCGCCGGCTTATTTATCCACATTTATCTGCTCACCGTCAGTTAGCACTAATGTGGAAACCGTTGATCGCGCTTGCGAGAGATCTAGGAGCCTATGAATATTTATCGAATTACATATTCATAGTACAGTGAAAGGTTGTGCAAATTCATGTAAGCTCCAATCGAGCGCCCCTGAAGTCTGGCATTACGGGAAGCCACGTCTCCCTTGATTCGTATTCGTGACGTTGAGTACTGGCTTAACGATGTTAATGATGCGATATTTTAATATGCTTTCATGTCTCCCTCTTGGACGGTTCACAAAGAACTGTGACGTTTATATTTTATTACTTTCTGCATGAGCTGAATGTCGTCTATTGGACAAAGTGCAATATTATGTCGTTGAGTACGAATCTTGCGTTATTAGTTTTTTTCTTCTGCTGCGGTCTACTGATTGGAATATGCTTAACTTCTGCACATTTGAATGGCCATTTCTGTTTATTCTTATACTGATTACTTCTTTTAAGACAATAAAGTTTTTTTCCATTTAAGATCGTTACCATCAGATTTTCCAGAGAAAATCTGATGACATTTTCTCTGGAAAATCTGATGACAACAAAATAATTTTCCAAACGGTTTGCACATTTTCTAAACGGAAAATGTTTTATCCGTCACGTAATCGAATCCAAGACCCTCAACTGTGGTAGGGTTACGGAACAGTCTTCGCTGTTGCACGAATGGGCAGGTCCGCCCAAGGAAATACCACGACCTCACAGGATACCAGCGTGGAGTGGAAGTGTTATACTTCTGCGTTTCGTCTGGTGCGAGATGGAACCGGGTCCCACAACATTAAAATATTAAAAGGTTCTGAAAACCCACGGTTGTTGTAAATGTCCATGGGCGGTGGATGTTACTTAACATCAAGTTAACAGCCAACTCGCTTGCCAACTTCTCACATAAATTAAAACTAATAATCCATATGGAAACAATCGAAGATCAGCAAACATCAACAAACATTGGCAGTTGCATTAATACCGCTTTGTGAGATATGAAAGCTTTTGGCGCTGACAACGCCAATCCCGGGGGATACTGTTGTTGCAAACAACTGAATAACTGTCCCCATTTAATCCCGGTCCCGGAGTTGTTTCAGTTTGCGGATATTCAATATTAGTGAGTCTGCGAGTGTTTTAACTGATTGGTAAAGTTTCACACACATACATTTCAACGGCAAATGTGAGTGTTGGATTAAAACGCTAAGTTTATATTAGTTTCCGTTACGTTAAAATAAAATGTTATATCATGATATAAACTTTTAGTTACTAAAGATATTTCTCCTATTTAACAAATATACTGAGTGGTGAACACAAATGAATGATCAAGTTGCGATATTCCTGCCAGAAACATCAGATTTAGATTATTATTTAAATTCATTTCAGTGAATATAATTTTTGCTTTTCAGAGCATTCTAGCCGCCCCTTCAGCAGTTGTCGACTTATACGAAGTTAATGAAATCCCAGCCCTCGCTGACAACGGCAGACCAAGGTAATGAGTGTAGTGGTAAGAATGACTGAGATTTGAGCTGTGGAGGCCAGAAATGCGGTCATGAACACGTAAAAATTTAATGAACAGTGAGTGGATACACCTTTTAAGAGTTTATATTTATAATTCTACCAAATGCAAACGTAAGGTTTGATAAAATTATTGCCAAAATACCAACTGTAGTTAGAAGAATTTGAAAGGGATTATTGAACGTAGTCAATTATTGTCTTCTGGCATAGTATCTTACTCAGGGTGTGCAATATGAGTGTATATTCAGTAACTGGGGTAGGGCCATGCAACATGTCTGTTGTACGAATCGGCAGGTCCATGCGGGTAAGTAACACGACCTCACAGAAGACCAGCTTGAAGTGAAAGCTTCGTTTCGTCTGGTGAGTGAGCTAGCTGGGGCTCACTTTATTAAAAGGTAGCAACGCATCTGCAATTCTCTTTTATTGCAAATGTCCACGGGTGGCGGTTATCCCTTAAAATCAGGTTAATGTTATGGTTGGTAGGCGCACTGGCTTACCACCCATATAAAAACAAAACGACAACTATTTTTAAAGAATAAATCACTGATATTTCTCGGTTTTCCAAAAGCTCCTTCATCGAGAACGCTTTCGACGTCGCTACCGATGGCGGCGAGACAAACATATACATCTTGTCACTGCGGCAAGTCCTCCAGGACCTGGCCAACCTCTCTGATACCAACAGCCAAGCTCTGGCTGTAAGTCAAGCCTTGGCAATCCTAGGAGAGCTGGCTTACGGGAGCCCTGGTGATAGCTGTTCCGCTGCTTCTGTGAGTATTTAAAAAAAGCTCGACTTCAACAAAGTAGATTCAGATAGCTAGTGCTATTAAATTTAACCAGTATTTATTTGCGCACAGGTGATAAGCCTACCCCCTGTTAACATACTACAACTATAGACAACTAATAGTTACGGTAAATGATTTAAGCCCTACGGTTTTTGTTAGGTTATAATAAGTTTCTAATCTCCTTGACCACAGCTCATCAACGCCTACGTCAATGGCAACAAAGCTGAGATTCGCAACGCGCTCGTCAACTACGCCCAAAACCTGGCGGGCAACATCGACGCCATCGTGCAGCTGATCCAAAACCCAAGCTCCATCCGTTACTCTGTAAGTGGCAACAAATTAAGTGTAACACCGAAAACCTACGCACATAAAATTTTATTGCTTTTCTAAGTTATTGTAAATTTTATTGTTGTCTCCGTGACGCAGTTGCCAAGGTATTGGCTTCGGCGTCGGGGGTCGTGGGTTCGACTCCCAGACGGGACAACTATTTGTGTGGCCCACAGATAGTTGTTTCGCATTTGGGTGTTTGTCCGCGTGTAATTTATGTTTGTAAATCGTACCTACAACACAGGATAATGTTATCCTAAATTAAGGGCAATGTTTTAAAAAAATGAATTAAAAAAATGAATTGAATCTAAGTTATATCATGTGCTAATTTTAATACTAATTCTATTATACAACGTGGAGCTACTACCGTGACCAAAATCAACACACACAACTTTTTAAATTTGTATTAAATATTTACTTTCTTTAAACATCAATATTTATCGAGTTATAAAATTTTTCAAAACAAATATTTTTAGAGCACCAGTACTTATAAAACTGTAACGTAAAGTTCATTTGTAAAGGTCACAAAGCATATGAATTAGTTGATTAAATTTAAAAGAGACAAGTTAAACATACTGTTAGTAGGATAGCATTGAAATGCGACGTTGTAGAAACGAATGAAAAACACTCTTAATGTATGAATCAGTCAGTATTGTATGGGATGTTACAGATTTTGTTTGATTTTATTTTATTAGTTTTTTTGAAAATTATTTTTTTTAATTATGGAATTTTAACGATTACATTTTTTATGATTATTAGCAAGTAGCGTTAGAAATGTGTTCATAGTTCTTTGAAATGAAAAATTAACAAAGTTCGAATAACAAGGACATCCGCGGAAAAATTCCAACTGGAATTCTTGTCGAAGTAATCGCATCGCAATACATTAATGATGCTGCAATTGAACGGGCCGAGTAAACCCTCACACCATTTATCTTTCGCAGATATTTCCCCTCGACTCGCTAAACTAGGATTTACATTGTTATTGATATTAATGATTTCTTCCACTTTTCCTTACGTAATGATTAATGATAGCGCTTCAGCGGTGATCGTTATACTTAAAGCCGGAAACTATTAGGTGCACAACTTTATTGTTGTTTATTAAATTGAACATCAAAGCATAGTGTATTATATAAAAATTAGTAAAACATAAAAATTAGTAAAACACAAAAAGAAGAGTTTGTTTTCTAACGCGAACGATAAATGTCTGTACTTCTGTTTGTTACAAATTTGAGTGAACGTATTTATATTTTTTTATATACATTTATTTGTTTAAATGGTCCAATGGTCTAATTTAAAATGTAAAGAAAATAACGTACTGTAGTAGAATATACAACAATGCATATTATTACTACTATAGTATTTAACCGTACCAATGTTGTAACACCTGATATGTTATGTGCAGAAGTTATGTGAAACTGTAATTGAAATGTCAACATTTTAAATAAAAAATTGACATTTAAAAAAATATAATAATATAAAAAATAGGCCTAAAAGCACACAAGCATCATCGTCGGATAAACTTTATTCATAACGTAATAAATAGAAATAAAGTTTTCCAACTGTTTTGAGCTATTATGTCTGAAGGCTTAGGATTTTTTTTTAATTCTGATCAATGCTTATAACCGACATAGATGTTACTCATATATATTTATATTTTTCGGTTGCTATTGAGATTATTAAATTTTAAAATTTATTAAACATCTGAAATTTGGACCTACACTTTGCTCAATGGCGACATTGTGGTAATAAATCGTCATTCTAGACCGGAAGACGTGGTAACTGCGCTGGAGGTGGCAGAAGCTACCAATTCGAGGCTGCTTGGGACGCCGTCTTGACCAGCGTCAATCCATACCAAGCTAGGTATGTGATTATTTACTGTAGTATCACTTACGTTTAGTCACTTGTTGAAACCCGCTTTCTCGAATCTGGCTCGAACGTTCAGTCCTGTTAAATTAAATGTTATATCAACACTGAGCCGTGATAGCTCAGTGTCGGGGCGCTCGCCTTTAATGCAATATAGTCTAGCAACCTGAGTTCGATCCAGCGTGCCGGCATCAATTAAATTGTTAATTTCAAGTGCTGAATTATCACACGCTCAGCGGTGAAGGAAAACATCGTGAGGAAACCTCCATATAATTAAAAAAAATATTTTGAAGATATGTGAAGTCCACCAATCCGCAGTGGGGCCGCGTGGCGGATTATGCCCTGATTCAGTCCATACAGAGGAGGCTTTTGCCCAGCAGTGGGACATGTATAGGCTGATGCTTTACTTTTTATTTTTATCAAGATCTATTAAAGCAGTTTGGCGTTTTACAAAAATGTTTATAGAGGAACTTCGTCGATAAAAAGAATCTCCTATGAGCCGCTGAGTTTCTTTTTCTGGTTCTTCTTGGGTTAGTGGTTTTTTTCCGAACCGGTAGTAGTGTTTTGGCAATCAATATGTAAGCGTAATGCTTCTATATTAAATAAAGATATTTGAATTTGAGTCGCCAACGATAGTTAGGATGAGTAATGTTATGTGAAGGTTCATTTACCTACGCCTGAACAATATTATTAACTTTCGAGTACTTTTTCTATATTTTAAAGACTGCTAACCAGGTACACCAAAGGGGCAACACTAACAATGGTTATGGTTATAGGCCCTTTACAGGACCCGTTTGATTACTTGAGGACCAAATTTTGTTAGCCGGCTTGGCATACCGACTTCCCTCGAGGCTGCTGACCCCATTATATAACCCAAGGCTTGCTAGGTTGTTGAACTGCTTGCAAACTTTGACTCCTCACATCCATTTGTCCTCACATGCACCTGTTCTCACATGCACCTGTTCTCACATGCACCTGTCTTTCAGTTTGGTCAACGAGGAGTACTGCGCCAGTAAAAGGCTGTACAACGCCTTCAACGTGCGTAGCAACAACGTAGGCGCGGCGGCCACCGCTTCCTCCTTGCCCCCAGTTGTCCAGATCGTACAGAGCGCTTATGGCGCACTGTCTAACGTAAGTATTACGATAAAAAAAGGTTTGTCTGTGGTAGGCAGTGGCAGGTTTGCCCTAAGCCCCAATAGGCCCGGGCCTAGGGCGGCCAATCGTGACAAAAAATTCACTGATGATAACAAGGTATATAATGGGCTCTGAGATAGGGGCGGCTGGGACTTACTAGACGGGCTGGGGCCTGAGGCGGCCAAGACTTCAAATCCGCCGCTGGTGGTAGGCCAAGTAATTTACAATAAAAAAAAAGTTAGTCTATGGTAGGCCAAGTAGCTTCTGCTATTGCACTTATAGAACGCCACGGGGAAGTGCCGCGGCCTGTCAGAAGACCAGCGTGTTGTGGAAGACATTACACTTTCGCGTTTTATTTGGTGATTGAAGTAACGGGCCAACTTATCAACGTTGTCAACTCATACGCGAACCCGCAGGCGCTTTTGATTTCCACGGGTGCTGGCATTGTCTGCTCGCTGGTTAGTTTATGCAAAGTCGCAATTTCACAAGCGAAGGAGTATGTCGACTAAAGAAGTGCAAAGAAAAACATTATGTTGGCGTTATAGGTAGAGTTGAATTTTTTTTATTTGAAAACTGCTCGTGTACCAGATGTTGGTAAGTGATAAAGAAGTAGGTGGTATATGTATTAGTTGATTATTTATTTATACACACACAGATAAGTCAAACATAAACTTTCATAAAGACAAAGGTACTGCTTATTTCAACATGAAATTTGTTCTAGCAGGCCTGTTAGTGGAAAAATCCAATTAAGACGGGAAGTGGTGTGTAACAGTATTATATAAAGATATAAATAAAATATAATGAAACAATAAAACAGTTTTCAAGCTTATGTATACATATATATCCAGCATATCCGTAAAAAGTTGCGACTAATACTACTTATAATATTAACTTGTTCCTTTAAAGAAGAAAGTGTTTTAGCATTTCTTATTTTATAAAACAGTGAATTTCATAATCTCACACCATTAACAGAAAAGGAGTATGAGAAACAGTATGTTTTATGAAGAGGCATTATCTTTTTCACTGTAGTTGTAGTCTATGAAATGTGCAAATTGGTGGTCTTCCTCACAGATTTCGGTACAATTGAATTCGATGCTAAAGCGATTTTTATCTTAAGTACAGTCGCTGTCAAGAGTAATGCTTGTTTTATTTAATTCTATTATACATAACTTGGTTATCTATATCGCAGTTGCTGAGATCAGTCGCTTACAACGGCAACGTAGCCGGCGCCGGTGCCGCAGCCAAGGCCGGTCTCATCCAAGCTCTGTCCAGCGTCAATATCTAAGGATTTGCATGAACGGAGTACACTCACGACCGCAAGATTATATATATATTCATAACTAAGTACAGTCAATCACAACGGTAAGAGTAGTGATGTAGCAATTGAACACCTTTGATAATTTTCGTATTTATTTCTTTGATATAACACATTATTAAGACTTGAAATTTGTATAGGAATCATTTTGAAAGCGATTTATTATATTTGTGTAAATATATTTTTTATATCAACTCCAACGAACTGGCTTTTTATTTCGGATTTGATTTTAATTATAAGTTTTTTTTGTTTTGAATAAATATGAATCCAACAGCTTGACTGTTTGTTTTTTTAATAAAAATTACTGAAGTTTTTTAACTACCTATTCCGCAAGTTTAAGCCATGTTTACCTTAGCGTCGAAAAGTTATGCCCTCTGAAACATGGTACATGGTCATAATATTTGATAGTAGTTAGACCACTGATTCTCAACCACTGTGCCGCGGCACTTTTGTGTGCCGCCAAATTTTGCAAATATATAATAATATTAATATTATTAAATTATATCATTTAAAAACAAAACTATTGATTGGCATTAGCTAACATTAAAACTAAAAAAAGATCAAGATTGTTAAATGTAGAAGACGATATGAGAGTAGCATTGTCATTTTTACGACTAAATGTAAATGAAATTATCAAAAAACATCAAGCTCAAATATCGCATTAAAAATATTTTTATTATTAGCTTGTAATTAATCCCTTAATAAACGTTTAGTTATTATTGTAATATATATTAGTTTATTTCGTATATTTAAAATTTTTATCATAAACTATTTATGCAGTGTGTTGTAGTAAGTAAATAATTTTCTTTGTGTGCCGCCAAATTTTGAAATCGTTTAATATGTGCCGCATCAAAAAAAAGGTTGAGAATCACTGCGTTAGACCATTTAGCAGTCACAAGGGCGAAGGTCTAACCTTTTTAGACAATGCTAAATAAGCCAGCCCAGATGTCCATGGGCGGCGGTATTCGCTTAACATCAGGTGAAACATCTGCTTGTTTGACAACTTTTCATATATTAAAATATGTAGAAAAAGTGCGAAAAGATTGTCGCCGCTGTGGGAATCGAACCCACGTCTTCGGCATTCGCGGCCTGACGCTCTAGCCACTGAGCTAAACGGCTGATTACCACACCGACGAAAATCCTAACGCATTCTTCTACATTGTTTTCTTAGCATTTGAAGCAATGCTTGGCGCCATTTATTGTTATATCCTTTCCAGCATACAATACAAAGAAAACATTAAAAGACAATCTTTTCGCACTTTTTCTACATATTTTAATGTTCAATCTTAAGTGCAAAGATTAGCACTAAAAACAAGTTAAATAACTTTTCATATAAAAAAAAGGCTGTGATTTCCTATTGACCTGTAATTAATATTAATAATATTAATTGAATTAGAAAATAAATTACTTATGATAAGAAATTGGTTAGATTTATTTCAAAACTAGTCTCTTCAGCTTTTTACAAGATAGCTTTTCTTATAAAGGGTAATGTCTAAAGTATGTTTAAAGTTAGCGGCACTTGTCGTATTAATCGATAATTGTAAGACAGTTGTGATACATCTATATGCAAGATAAAGTATCCATATAGTATTGTTCAGTCTGAACGAGTCTCTACTGCAATCATTTTATTAGAGCAAATGATATACGCGCAACCTAGTGAATATTTAATCGATCGAATCTCTGCTCAATGTGTCGAGACAGGCTTTGAGACCTAAACTCAGACAGCAATATCTGTATACTTATCGTTACGGTTAATAGCTCTGAGCCGCAATTTAGTTGCATTATCTTTAACTTAATTAAAATGAAGAATGCTTAAGTCTGAAGGAACAAGAAACTATTTCCCGGTTGCAATCATTCAGTCTTCCGACCGAGAGAGGTTGCAATAAAACGTAATGGATTAAAGTATTAGGAGTTCTGATTAGTTCGCCGCGCTGGATCTGAAAGCTAATACTATTGTAAAAATTATATTTTACAAAGTTATAATAAAAAGGGAAGGGGCATTGGGAGATAAAATATATTTTGATCACTGACAGAATCTGTTCAATTTCAAAATGCCCATTCCATGGGTTGTAATGTAATGACATTGGGGCCATGATAGCTCAGTATCCGGGCGCTCGCCTTTAATGCAATATACTCGAGCAACATGAACCTGAAATCCCGTGCAGGTGCCAATGAAATGTAATTGTTAATCTTAAATTAAAATTGTAAACCTTAAGTACTGGCTTATCACGTGCTCAGCGGCATAATAACAAAAAAATATTTTGACATGTGAAGGCCCCCAGTGAATCCGTAGTGGGCCGCGTAGACTATGCCCTAATATCATTTGTTCAGAGGACGCCTTTGCCCAGTAGTGGGACATTTATGGGCTATTACCGATACTTTTATATCACATAAAAAACTAAAACAAAATTTCTTTCGCAGTTGTCTTGTCAGCGCTACTGGAAGGCATTTGAGCATAAAGCGTACATGACTTCCGTTCGGAAAATTAATCTCTGTATGTCTTGTGCGTAGACATAACCGTAGAGCTTTTGTGATTTGTGATCTTAATCGCAGTTACATTAATAATCTTAATTTTGAATAAATTGCCAGTGTTTTTTAGTGTTGAACTAGTATCATATCAATATCATTTCATTTTTGTAATCAGTTAGTGCTAAAATTTTAAAGTACATCTACGATTTCATACGATAAATAGTAACTAACAATTAAAATCGGAATCGAACCCAATTATTCCGTTTCCAGTCCAAACTAATTTATAGTTACTGGGGGGAAAGTAACATACGGCGAAGTCGAGTGGAACAAATTTACAAACGCCATGCGCTTCTCAATGGAATTTCAAACACTGCACAGAGCTTTAATAGGGAGCTTTAAGTAAATTTCTTCAGCACTTAATAACTATCGGTGATCCGATTAGAACCAGCGAGGCGTGTGATTTTATAACGAGCTATAGAAGAGAGCCAAACTTGTTTAAAACGCGTCATACTAAGTTTGTATTACTTAAGTGAATAGTTTCGTTTAAAATTAGTACAAGATTTTATCATTTCAGCGAAAAGATTATTTTAACTCACTGTTATTTCGGTCAACGACCTAGTACAGACTATACAACCGTTCTCATTAAGTATATTAAATAAGTTAACTAAAAAGCAAAATTTAATATAATTATATAAATTATATTGATTTTTTTAAAGATAAAGTGCAAGTTTTGTAACATTGTATGTTTATTAAAGGTAAGACACACAATTATTAAAGTTTGTTAGAAGCATTCTATCCACATGCATTTTTGCTTATAAATAATCTGGCTTCTGTTGGCCACTGTTGGCCTTTATAGTTCGGACGGGCTTGAGGTGGCCCGGCGCACGAGGCGCCTAGCCTGAACCTCGGCGTATTATTATTACGCGTTATGGTGACTAAGCTCGAGGGCTCCCGGCGGGCCGTCACGCTATTGTACTAATCTCCGGGGTATTGCTGTTGCAAACAATTGATTAACTGCCACCACTTAATTAGGTTTATATTTTAATTAATATAGTTTGTGAAAACAACATTCAATATCAGTGGGTTTTGTCGTATTGCATATTTAATCGTATGACACTTCCGCATATTTTTATCCGGCAATTTTTTAACGGATACCTTGAAATATGGTGAATGAACAGGTGACACTATGAATATTTATTGAACAGTAAGAATTTTAAAAATAACAGGGTGTTATTTTTAAAACAATAAAAGTTTTACCAATAATGCCTGTATATAAAGTTTGCAATGTGCAAAAGTAGAAAAGAACTACGGGACTTTTAGTGTGACATTTAAATGAATGTCCCACTGCTGGGCAAATCAGAGTACATTATATGTACTGTGCTACAGAGGGTATTAGGGCATAGTTTATCACGTAACTCCATTGCGGATTTGCCGATTTGACATACGTTTGAAATATTTTTTGTTCTTATTTCGAAAAAAGCGGGTTTCCCCACGATGTTTTTCTTCATCGCTGAGCACGTGATCAAACAGCACTTAAAATTAACAATTTCATTGGTGGCGGCAGGGTTCAGACTCGGGTTGCTCGAGTATATTGAATTATAGGCGAGCGCCTGGACAATGATATATCACGGCTGTGCAATTTAAAAAAAATATTCATCCAAAACGCAAACACAACAAGCTTTTAAGTTAACCTGTTAGATTAACAGATATTAGCAAAAATATCGTGATGTTAGTTACATTGCAGTTGATATTTATCATTATATTGGTTTTCACTATTGTTATTTTTTTTTCCATTATTAAAATGTTATTGTTAATCGTGTTCTGTTAATTTAATGTCAGGCTGGGGTACAATATCAGTATCGTGCACAATGTGTATAACAAAGCACAGACCTTTTTGTCTAAAATCTGACTAGAATAATTGTATTTTAAATTACTTGTACATTATTTGTGATCTTAGACCAATAAAGATTTTTTATTATTTATTATTAATACATACCAGTCATAATTTCTGTACAGTAATTATGGTTTGAATCGCGATAGCTATGAATACATAAATTTTTCTAGTACCAGTTGAGCGCCGATGGGTTTTAAAAATTTAAGTCTATGAATAGTAGTGTCTCTGCTTATCCTCTTAGTGTTAATACATTAGAAAGCTTGAGTTTTTACGTTCATATTTTATTGATATTTTTAATTAGTTCTATTTCTAATTATGTGTCTAATCCGGAACAATGTGAAGCTATATAACCGATTGCAATCCGTCTTCCGACAGAAGGAAATTGCAGCGATATTAAATTCATCCAATGGATTAAAGTATTAGTACTTTTGATTACTTCGTAGCACAGAATGTGAAATGTTCATTAAACTTGTCGTTATAATTCATTTTTGGGAATTCGGGGTGTCATATGTAGCTCTTAATAAGATTCGGCAAAACTAAGTCGGCTGACTAATTTAATAAACATGCGGTAAACTATATGGCTTGAGTTCTTCAGTGTCATTCGTTTATTTGTAAGTGATTCTTTGGTCTTACCATGAATCGTGCTATTTACGTATTCCTATAACATTGAAACTCTACAATAAATTGTTATATATATATACTAGCGGCCCGCCCCGGCTTCGCACGGGTATTTAACAAAAATTTTAAAATTAAAAATTATCACACACATACATAAAACCTTCCGAATATTTCGTCTTTGGTGAATAATTTTATGAATTTCTTCATCTTTTCAAATACCCTTGAAATTACGTCATGAAGATCGAAAGCCTGGCCAGATAATGGTTCCGCTTTAATTACGGGACATTCGGGGTTACACGTAAAAATGACAAATAAGTCTGGTCTCCCATAGCTTTGGACATAAATCATTGCATCTTGGGTTTTTAATGCAGATAACTTGGAGAACCTGTAAATGAATATGACGTTGCAGATTTAGCGTCGAACGATATTTGATGGGTCAAAGTCTTGATTTAAAGCGTCTCTAAGATGAATGTTTCATCAGCCCCAGTCTCTGGAGATTACGACATAATATGTAATTCAATGTATGTATTTAATATGGCAGTCTGTGGGGGAGTCTATGTTCAGCAGTGGACTCAAATAGGCTGAAATGATGATGATGATGATGATGATGTAATTCAATCTTTCTGGTATCATTTTTGCCATCATATCGACAATGTCGTCAAGTGCGAGTCGTTGTCCCACACGAAGGGTTCCGTACCATTCCATTTGGTAGTAATTTCACTGTGGTAGGGTCCACGCAACAGTGTTCACTGTTGCACGAATGGGCAAGTCCGTCCGGGTAAGTACCACGACCTCACAGAATACCGGCGTAAAGTAGAAGTGTTATACATACTTCTGCGTTTCGACTGGTGAGAGAGGTAGCCGGGGCCCACTTTATTTAAACATGGCAACGCATTTGCAACCCTACAGGTGTTGCAAATGCGTTGCCCTACAGGGCAGCGGTTATCACTTAGCATCAGGTGAAACGCCAGCTCGTTTGCCACTTTGTCACATAAAAAAATCAAATTTAAATATCTTTATTCGATATAGAAGTATTACACTTACTTATTGTCAAAAACACTACTACTATTGACATTATCTATAAAAACGGCAAAAAATCATGTCTGTTTTATGGGAGCCCCATTAATTTATATTTTTTTTTCGTGTTTGTTCTTATAGCGGCAACAGAAATACATCGTTTGTGAAATTCACAACTGTCTATGTTCTAACTATGTATGGTCATAAGATACAGCCTGGTGAAATATGGACAGACAGACTGACAGACAGCGGAGTCTTAGCCTATTACTAAGACTCCGCTGTGTGCCGTTTTACCCTTTGGGTACGGAACCCTAATAAGTCACTGTAATAATGCAATGGATTATTAAAACAGGTAGCTAACCATCAACCTAAATGCATTAAATTGCATGCATCTCACAGTTTTGTTACGCGCTGTACCTTACTGAGGAATAGTCAAATAATAACCGTCTTCTTCCATTACGACGATTAAGGGATATTGTAGTGGATCAAGCAATCGGTGTAACTCAGAGACCCTTTTAAGATGGCCGTGTCTACCGTGCAGCACTATATCTCTGGGGCCTTTTTAGGGTTCAGTACTCAAAGGGTAAAATGGGTCTGTCCCTCTGTCAACAGGCTGTATCTCATGAACCGTGATAGTTACACAGTTGAAATTTGATCTGGGTGTTGGTTTCCTAAGGAGGTTTAACGTCAGGCAGGCGGCTAGTTGTAAAAATATGGCCAAAACCGCTCAAAACATGATTCATGTTCTTCCGACCCCACCTAGGTGGGATAGGGGCAGGAAGATGTTGATGTCTTGTATACTTGTCCCTCTATTTTAAAAGTTCGCGTCAAACGAAGTCATTTGAAAGAGGCTATTGTACTTTCGGATGTTGGTTAAAAATTTCCTGATGGTGAATGATTATTTATCAAATGATTTTCTATTGGCTGTGGCGGCTCCTTAATATTGGGGAGACTAACTTTTCCAGAAGCACAGCACATACCATTTATTTCATCGACCCATTTTTAGGCAGAACACTGAGCAGATCTTATTCATCGCTTCGAATTGGAGGGAAGACTGTTGAGCATAATGCAAAAAAGCTGATCTGTTACTGTGAGCTAAAACTCGATTACGACCTCTAGTCGTTGACATTTGTTGTCTTTCTCTCTAATCTCGTAGGCGTTGGGAACGCTCAGAGCTCGATTCCCTAGTGTGAATTTGTATATTAATATTATTTTGCTCTTCAAGCCACTGCAAACACTCTACTTGACTCTCTCCGACTTGTAAGTTTCCGGTAAAGATTCCTCATTACGACGTATTTTTGATGCCCTCGCTTGGGAAGAGAGTTTAGAAAAAGTTTCTAGAAAGATGAGATCCTAATCTCTGGGCATTTTAAAATTATGTTGAATAGGAATTACCAGTATAAATGTGATTGAAAAATTATAAGAACTACTAAGTCAGTCACTAAGCTGTTTGGATAGTAAATTACAAAATACTAACATTTTTAAACTTGCAATATGTAAGGAATGGAATGTCCGAATTGAATAATTCAAAAAGTTATTTAAAGATATTGAAAATGTCTTAAATATGAAGTAATTTATTTTTTAAGGATTAAGACCAAGATACAAATAAACAGCCTTTTCTAGCGGCGGCATTTCAATAAAAAATTTAAATTAAAAGAACACTTATTGTGGCAAAACTATAATAGTTAGACATATGGTGTCGCGACACTTTTTGTAAATAATGATGTGTTCTACAAAGCCGTAGTACATTATTTTATTCTATCATCAATAGTTTTCGCAGCGCACGCGATGTAAAGAATATTTTAGGTAATTTTTGTACACCTTGAGTAACATTATTGGAGTTTTAATAAGGATCCCTAAGTTTTTTGAAAATATAATATAGCCTATATTAAGCAGGGATAATGTAGCTCCCCAACAGTGAAAGAATTTTTCAAATCGGTTAAGTAGTTTCGGAGCCTATTCAATACATACAAACAATCAAATCTTTCCTCTTTATAATATATATATGTCTTTCTTGTTACACAAAGTTAGTCTCGATACCCCTCCGAGATATCAGTTTGATATTTATGAATAAGGTATTAATGATAAGGGTGGTCCACCCCAAACGTCTAAACGTCTTATTCTACCATACAAATTCCCTACAAATAATTTGTTTGGCGAAACAACGTTCGCCGAGTCAGCTGGTTTGATATATAAATTCCATTAGTACTTAACTACTATATCAGCTATGCGATTAAAACCAGCGGGGCGTATGATTTATAAAAGGGCTCTACAATTGAGCAAAACTCGATATACATATGTGGGGTTAAGTACGTAGTATCTACTTAAGGTACATGTTTTTTCATGCATAATAGAACAATTTTTTAATGGTAGTGAAATGTTTTTATTTGGTTCTATTGCTTTGTTTAAGAATCAGATAATGTATTTATAACAATTAAATAAATGTAAAAAGTAAAAAGAGTAAAGTTTTTTTTTTAATACGTGTGACGAAAAGTGCACAGTATTAATTATAAATTAATATATATAGTATTATTTTATAAGTTACATGTTTTTTCATGCTTACTCGATGTATAAACATTTTTCACGGTACTGAAATGATGTTAATGAACCAAATAAATCGTGTTCAGGTCAGAAAATACAAATATACCAGTTGAATAAATTTAAAAACGACATCAAAGAATAACCATGGCGTTGATGTTAATTAGTATTAATTGAGATCGATTGCCTTATCGAAATCATTCTGCTATTTCCTGGTTCGGTGGAAAACACTTTTTATAGCTAAATACTGTGAAACTGTTGTGTGTTAAAAGAAAGAACTAAAATTCAATCATCCGAGGTTTTTAATCAGCTCCTTTATGTATCTGACCTCCTTCCTCTCGTGGAAATCTTCTTCTTCTGCTTCTGCGTGCGCGTTCTGTGTTGTGCGCATCATCTGTTCCCGTCCAGGGAGCTCAGTGATGAAGGTACGGATCTGTGTCAAATATATTCGGACAAATGAAGCAAATTTGAAATCGTCCACGATTCGCAACATATTTTTGCAGCCGGAAACAAAAAGAATATTCTTTAAAGTACTCAGGATAAGAGTAATATATAATTCTGTCACAAGTATTGTTTAATGTAATAAATCTTTAACAGGTGGCATAGAGGTTATCACATTAATTATTTTAACATCAAGCTAGTCAATGTTATAAGGTAGTCAAGATAAAACAGTTTTTTTTTGTTATGATAAAAAATAAATTATCGAACATATTAGATTCAATTTCATTTATTTTGTTCGAGTCCCACTCCCACTAGATAAAGTGTGCGGGAAGTCGATGGATTCAGGTATCTCAGGTTCATGCTTCGTGGCGATCTGTGGTCTATGTTTAGCGGTGGACCCAAACAGTCTGAAATGATGATTCAACATCATCATTTCAGACTGTTTGGGTCGTTAGTTGGTTGATGCAATAAATCATAATGAGGTGTAGTCTTTTAATCATAATATGGTAGAGTCACTCATCAGATTCTGCCGTCGCATCGACAGACCTGGCCCTTCTTTCTGGAGGTTGACCGTTGTGAAGTTGAAGTATTACACTTATACGTTTCGCATGGTGAGTTGGAATGGAGACCATTCGTAAGAATGTCTACGACGCATCTAGAACCCCACAGATCTCGCACATATTTATGGGCGGCGGTAACGACAATACAGTTAACAAAGTCAGGTGGTCCACCTTGTTGTTTGCCACCATTACACATAAGAAAAATAAATAAAAACGAATTCGCTCCAGGGTTGAACTAAAGTTTGTTCGATGATATTATCATTTTGCAACTTTGATACCTTTTGATTTACTGCTCTGAAGTTTTGCAGCAGTTTCAAGGCGGATCTTTTGTCAGTAGGATGTGAAAGTTGATACAGGCGCACAGCTCGATGGAACTTAAAAAAACAGTAAAGTTTAATAATAAAATCACTTACATAAATTGGTGTTAAGTATTGATTTTAGTTCATTATGATATTTGGATGTTGGTTAATGTAAAAAAGAAACATGAGATTTTGCGGTATTTAATTAGGTATTCTCTTCATTACATGCAAAAAAACCTAGCCTAAGTTTTTGTCCGGTTTTAGCGATAGCTTAATTGAAATCCACAGGATCTCTAGCTTATCAATTAAATTAAGATGTTAGCGTTCTAAAAGGAATTTTCCATACAAGCAAGCAATTTTCCATGCTTGTACAGCCTACTGTTTTTCTTTTAACAATGAATCGTAAAACAACAACTGTATTCGGTAAACAAAGCTAAAATAGGACAGCTTGTTAACTTACCCTTTCAAGAAGACACCAAGTGTCCCTGTACTGCTGCAGGAAGACAAGTGGCGTGAGGATCGACGCATAGAGCGCTGCCTCGCGGTCCAGCAAGTCTTCTCCTTCAGACATTCCGTGAACTGTCGCCCTATATTTGTGGAGGAACGCCGTATTTGCATGGTCCTTGTCGAAGCTGTAAGTGAAAGTATTATGCCGTGACTTTACTTCGTTATAAATACCGAGCGGATCATAATAATAAAATAGAACACACACTACTGCTGATTTTGAGGGTACGGAAATCCTTTTGTGAACAAAAGTAAGTCTTTTTTTTTGAATTTTCGAAAATTGAACTTGACGATATCGTTATAACCACGCTTCAAAATTCTTACAATATTCGTCATTATTAAGAAAATTCTGTTAATTTACTTTTTCACTCCGTCAACAATTAAATCAACAGACTACGCTCACGTAACACGAGGCCTTCTGAGGGAGCCTTGGCTCGGGCAGTCACGCTATTATTATTAGTTTTGGAGGACGACATGCTCTTAGAGCGCTTCTGCGGACGCACCACGGCCCTTGGCTTAAAGGCCCCCTTGGCTTGGGCTGTCATCATAAAAGAGTCGGTGCTGGGAGAAGAAGCGCGGAAGAAGCTCCAGCAAATCTTTTATCATTAACGGGGGAAAACTGCCAGGTACGTGGCGGAACCTATTATATGTTTGATTTGATTATTCTGATGTTATAAAGGATTGACAACTCACTACGGCATAATCGCGTAAACACGCCTCACTATATCCCTTGGCGTCGGTTTTACCCGAGCGCAGGTTTCTCCCACATCATCGTGCCTCTTCGACAGCTTAGAGACATGTCTCTCTCCAGAGGGGTCCCGCTCCAAAGACACCAGTTCCAAAGAGTAAGACGTGGACTTAGATTAAGTGAAAGAAAACAAAGATAAAGTAAAATAAACAGAAGTAATAGAGCAAGAAGAAATAGTAGAACCTCTTTACATTTAAAATAAGTTACTTGAAGCGATGCATATATAATCTTATAAATAAACATTTCAGGACATATATTTATACAAAGTTATCTAGTCCCAAATTGAACATGGGTACCAAGTAATTGACAAACATATATAAAATATACATTATAAATAGATATACGAATATAAACACCCAGAAACTAAAAGAACAATATGATTATCACACAATATTTTTCCAGCGGTGAGAACTGAACTCGCAGCCCCTGTCGCCAGAGGCACTACCCCAGTTTAATTGTCAAATATGTTTCTCCTCTACTTAGGGCAAATTAGTACTTGGTTCACGCCCCACCATTATTACCCATGAATGTCTGCAGAATCCACGAAACGGCTTTAGATTTGTCTTTTAAAGACTCAATCATCAGTAGTCTTCTTTGAGGGTAGTGTTACACGAGTGTATAGTCTTGTCCAGGGAATTACCAAAGCTTTATATAAAAAGATGTGATGTTCTGGCGTGCAGGAGAGAGGAAGCCTATTTCCTTGGCGAGTAGTTTCCTTGACTAGTCAAAGTATATGCATGAATCATATATCATATGTTTCATGTCAAAGTCCAAACCAGAATCAAATCACTTTCGGTTCTATTTATTTTTAATCATTCGACCAATGCTAAATTCGTAACATTGAAAGATATAATTTGATAAATGTCTCATCATTCCGTCTTTCGTGAACTGATATAAGTTACGTCAGAAAGATACGTTAATCTTGTGAGTCAGTTTATATGATGAAAATCTAATCCAACTTCCGAAGCTTGCTAAACTAGCTATGGAAAGTCTTGTCTAAAACTTGAATTGTTTGGAATTTTGATTGTTAATCAAACAACCTCAAAGGGGTAGACTTACCGCAAAAACTAAACAGAATAATGTAACGTACGTTCGCAGCCCCATTGCAGAGATTTTATCTCATTCATGATATTAGCATTCGCGCGTAAACATAAAATATAGACGATCACCGAATTATGTTAAAATAACATCAATTAATACTGAAAATTTTTCAAAGAAGCTTACATTATTATCTGTTTGACACTGTCAAAAACTATAGATGGTAGAGTGGCACTCTGAGAAGTGAGAAAATATCGTATAAAATCTCTTTTGATACCTATAATTTCTTCCATGATTTTTTTTAATATAGGTGAAAAAGAGTAGGAGGTGCATACTCATCAATTTATTAGGAAATAGCTTCCTGGATTTGACAAGTTTTTAAAGTGGATATTAACTGTTAACGTTGGATGTTACAAGCTATTCTCTCTATCTTCTATTATTTTTTCTAGCTAGGATCCAATAGCAACAAGATATATAAATTAATTAAAAAGTTTTTTAATAAATTTGATGATTAAAATAGTAATATATTAAATAATAATACTAATATTAATATATAATTTATAATTAATACTAATACTAAAACTATTAATAATATATAATCTAATATTAATATATAACCTAATACTAATATATTATAGAAATTACTTTGGACTTATAAATTCAATTCAACAAAATTAAACAAATTTTACTTCGAAATGATTCGTACATTCTGAGTAAATCCAAGAAACATCAATTAAAACGAAAGAAAGGTTTTAATAATTTTCTTCTTCAGTCCGCATTCTATCCGATAGAAAATTTGCACTAGAGATAGATTGATATAGTCTACAAATTACTCATTCCGAGCAGAGGTAGATCGATTAGAGAATAGAATAAGATTAAAAAACTAGTAGTGGGAAAGAAGTTCATTACTTCTGTTTCAAAAGAATTTTATAAATCGAATTGTGGATAAAATAAAATTACGTTAAGTGTATAATACATTGTGTGTTACTACTAACACTAAAAAGACATTGTGTGTTACTACTACTAACTTCTTACTTTGTGAGAAAATGTCTGGACAACCTCAAAAAGAAAGTGATAACAGAGACGCGTATAAACGATTTACTTATATTTTTTTTATGTGAGAAGTTGGCGTGCGAGCTGCTACTGCACTAAATGTTATGATAACCACCGCCCATCCACACTTGCAACACCCGTAGGGTTGCAGATGCTTGCCACCTCATACATTGGCGTTTCTAGGGCTATTTTTCAGGGTGGGCCTGGCCCCTACTAAAAAAATCGAACACTGTTTCAGCAATAGATATTATTCAAGTGGAAGGTTTACATTTAGTATATATGCATATTATAGTAGAGAAAATTCGAGAAATTCAATACCTACATTGCACCTCGCTCGCCTCGCTCTTTTTCAATCTGCTTTTGGCGATGAAGGATAGGAGTCCAGCCTAGAATTTCGAATTGGTAATCCACAACACATGCAACAGCGAAGAACCTTTGCGTGGCCCTGAAAAAAAGTAGCTATTTGCATATTTTTTCCGAATTCATACGACCATTAAGGGCCCAGTTCCTGAGCAATAAGGCCTCAACATATAACAGCTTAATTTTTAAATGTAAAATGTGCTGATAAATTGTGGAAAATTTTTTTCGCTGCTGCCAGGAACAATTCCGTGTCTTCTGGATTCTGCTCTGGCCACTAAGCTAAAGCGTCATATATAAAAAAATATTATGAATAAAAGTAAAGATATAGATATAAATATTGTATATAATACATATATAAATAGGACCCAACCAGACGGAAGCCCTCGGCAGGGGAGACCAAATGGCCGAGGGTTAGGGTGAAAGGGAGAGAAACGCGCGGACGATGCGGGCGGTATCGAGGAGCACCGCCTTCTGCATTTGAGCTTGGAGCGTTCCGTCCTGGAGTCCCAGTCGTCTCAGATGTCCGGAGAGGCTAACTGGAATCAACCGTTTCGCAGACACGACTATCGGGATAATTTCGGTCGGCACACCATCCCACATATCGGCCACCTCGTGAGCCAGGTCCACATATTTCATCTTCGTATCTGTTTCGGCTTTCACGAGGTTATCATCCTATGGAATGGTAATGTCGACCAAAAATACCTATATTTGTTCGCTACAATCGTCCTGTCCGTGATGATGGGCCGGTCCAAATAGAGCCTGGCGCGGTCATTTTCGAGCACGGTCTCCGAAGAGTACTTACAGTACGGCAGTTTCCATTCCACGAGGCCGTATTTCAGAGAGCCTGGTGTAGGATTCTGGCTACTAGGTTGTGTCTATGCAGATACTCAGAGTTAGAAAGCATGGAACAACCGGAGATAACATGCCGAAGCGAAACCCCGGGATGGCGACTAGCTCGACAGATATGACGGTGCCATTCCTTAGGATGTATTTCCGATAGTTGTTCGTCTTAATAACCTGATCGCATAGACAAAACCTTCGGTTTCCCCAAAAAGGTCACCAAAACGTAGCCAGTTAAGGGAGTCAAGAGTATCTACAAAAGGCTCTTTCTCCTTCCATACGGCCTCCCGGTCGAAAACGCTCAGCACTATGGGTCCTGCCATTGCTTGTTGCCTAAGGATAGAGGGGTAAATCCTTTATCACAACTAATGACGTCCGTGTAGATTAAATCATTCGATCTCGCCAGGAAGTAGTTACGGAGGCAGCACACCTCGCGATTGTGCATGTTGAGCTCACTTTGAGTCCACCTGAGTATGCCAAAGGTATACATGAGGACTGGCATGACCCAGCCGTTAAATGCGCGCGCCTTGTTCACGTCTGACAAATGGCGGCTGTTGAACACCTTTGTCAGGCGTGCAAAAACACGTCACGAACTGACTGTTTCATGCCAGCCTCATCAATACACATGTTTTGTGACATACCAAGGTATCTGTATGTTTCAGCCTCTGAAAGAGTCCTTATCTCTTATCCTTTAAACGAGAAATTCTTGTAAATATATTATATAATCGGAATCTCGAAAACGGCTCCAGCGATTTTCATGAAATTTAGTATGTGCGTAGATTCGGGGGTTCATTTTTAGAAAATGTCTTTTTATGCCTGTTTTCAGGGAATGAAAAATATCATTCGAATATGACCGTAAATTTCGCCGCAAAAAAAATAATAGCTCGGTCGGTAATCGGGCGGACCCAAAACAGACGGCCGCGGTTCGTATCACGATCATTTACACACTTATTTTTTCAAAGACATAATGGTATGAATAAATTTGTTGTTTCTCTTCTTTATTTTTTTCTTGTTAGCGGGTGCCAAACGAGCTAGTGGTTTACCTGACGTTAAGTGACAACCGCAGCCCATCGACATTTGCAACACCCGTAGGGTTGCAGATGCGTTGCAACCTTTTAATAAAGTGGGCCCCGGCTATGTCACACACCAGACGAAACGCAAATGTATAACACTTGCATTTCACGCCGGTGTTCTGTGATGTCGTGGTTACTCGGACGGACCTGCCGATTTGTGCAACAGAGAAGCCTGTTGTGTGGCCCTACCTCATTAAAATTTGCTTTCTGCAATGAATAACTTATTAGTTAAAATCATTTATAATATCCCTAAATAAATATAAGTATGTATTCGGTTATATTTAATTACATTAATTTTATATACTATATAGTTCATCATTTTGTTTCAACACAATGTCCGTACATTGTGTAAAAGAGGAAAATCAACAGTGGCTTATAAACCGAGCGTTGACGTAAGCCGGGTGTCCTGATAATAAGATTATTTAAATTTATAAACAATTTTGATACTAGCTTATAACAAGTTCCGACAAAATTTAACTTGAGCTTTGTTCAAGAAGGATAGCGTTAGCAGTTGTACTATACATAAAAAGAGAAATAGATTAAACATGATATAACAAACATAAAAAATATATAGCTATAAATTAAACAATAACATAAAAAAAACTTAATACGGGGCATTTGATTAGAAAAAAGTTGTTCCATCTTCTCTGGCTGTGATAACCACTACTTATAATTGTTTCTTCTACATTTGTAAAAGGATTTAATTTTTTCAGAAACTGTGTGTTTGTTACCATTTTAAAGTGTATTCCACAACGAGAATGAAATTAGTATATCACTCCACAGCGCAATCTTTCCAGAGCGGTTAAAAGGGAAGCAAGCAATAAATCTGACCGAATGAAAGCGCAAAATTAAATGCCAAAGCTTTATTGCAGGTCTTGCTGTTTCTCACCAATGTTTTGAAGAATCTTTCTAGTTTTCACTTTGAGAAAAATAGATCTGTAATACATTTACTCATTCTTGATATCTGGTTCAATCTTCAAATGAAAATTAGTCAGTAATATTTTATCGTTTTATGTCAAATCAAATTTTTCTTTTCACGGGTAGAGTAGAATCTGTTACTTCTTTAAGTTTCCGTTATAGTCATTTAGCATACACAATATTTCATCAGATTTGTATACGTATCTAATGTCATACATATTTGAAGGTTCTTTTACAATAATTAAAAACTTAATCTAAAAATAAAAAGTATGTGTGTACTTATGTACGCATGTAAGAAGTTATACTTATAGCGTAAAGAAATGTCTTTGTTTTCTTAATGAAATACAATTGATAGTAATTAATTTAAATAAAAGTAACAGCGTATACATGACCCACTGCTGGGCAAAGGCCTCCTCTATACAGAGGGTATTTGGGCATAGTCCACCACGCGGCCCCACTGCGGATTGGCGGACTTTAAATAACTTGGAATTATTGGTAAACTTCATGACATATATCAAGGAGTTGTTATTGTTTGCTAAAATTAAAATGGTTACCAAGCTTCATGTCGCATTTTGGGGGTTGGTGTGCGCAAATTTTACTCTCATAGATTTTTCCAAAAGCACCATAAAAATTATAACTTCAAAAAGTATGTATGAGTGTTATGTCACGAAAATACGGTAAATTGCAATTGTGTTTAATACTGTTCGGATGTATAAATCAATATTCGAGCAACTCATGTGTTATTCTCAAACTAAGTTACTTTACGTAATATTTTTATCGATTAAAAGCATCGGTTAGTTACTTACTAAGAAGTTACTTGCG